CGCCCCGCCGCCCTTAGTTGCGGCTCCGCCGCCCTCACCTGCGGCCCCGCCGCCCTCAGTTGCGGCCCGCCGCCCTCACCTGAGGCCCCGCCGCCTTCGGCGGCCCGTCCCCGCCCTCACCTGCGGCCCCCCCGCCCTCAGTTGCGGCCCCGCCGCCTTCAACTACTGCATCACGCCCGACGCCCGAGCCGCCCGACCGCCTCACCCAGCCGAGCCGCCAACCGCCGCGCCGCCTTGCCGCAGCACAACCGAGCCGCCCAGCAGCAGAGCAGCCGAGCCGCCGAGCCGCCGGGCCGCCCTGCAGCCGAGCCGCCCAGCCGCCGTGCAGCCGAGCCGCCCAGCGGTCGAGCCGCCGTACCGCCCAGCCGCTCTTTCGCCGAGCCGCCCGTGCAGCACTGTCCGTTGAGCACGGCACCTCTGTCACTGCACAGCCCTTTCCCTACTGCTTGCACTGCCGGTCCACTGTTGTCATGGCTACCCTTAGTGTCCTCGCTTTTGACGCTGAGGGTCGAGCCATTGACTTTGAGGTCTGGGTCGACGACCTCCAGCTGTTCTTACAGTGCGATAGGGCAGACGGTCTCTCTCTCTTTGACCTCACCTCTCGCGCCTCTCTCTGCCCCTGCTGCTCATGCTGACGCCACTGTTCGCTCTCAGTGGGCCATGCGCGATGCTGCTGCTGCACGTCTTGCTGTGCGTCGCCACCTGCCTACCACTGAGCGCACGCACTTTAGCCAGTACAAGAGTGCTCAGACCTTGTACGACGCTGTAGTTGCGCGCTACTCTTCCCCTGCCACTGCTGCAGTGAGCCGCCTCATGCTACCGTACCTCTTCCTGACCTTGCTGCCTTTTCCACAGTCGCTGACCTCATTACGCACCTCCGCACTAGTGACACTCGCTACCGCGCTGCGCTTCCTACTGAGTTCTGCGCCAAGAACCCCCCCCCCCCCCCCATGTACATCACTCTCTATTCCATAGTCACCCCCCCTCCCTGACTCCCTTCGTGTAGTCAGGGACCACTTCCTCTCAGTCTGTCCCACCACTCTCACTGTTGACCTCCTAGAGAAGGACCGCCTAGCAGCAGAGAAGAGCATAGTCGGTGTAGGAGCCTCTCATGGTGACCCTCGCACCCCCATCTTTGAGGGGTGTTCCCCTTCCCCCCTTTTGCCCTCTGTTGCCTCTGCTGCTACGACCGACCTCATTGGTCTTGAGTCGGTCGGTGCGGCGTCTGCCCCTAGCGGGAGACGTCGCTCTGGTAAGGGCAAGGGGGGCAAGGGCACGGGTGGAGCTAGCGGGGGTGGTGGAGGTGGCGGTGGAGGCGGCGGAGGGAGTGGGGGTGGCGGTGGGAGTGGTAGCAGGGGTGGAGGTGTCGGTGGCAGCAGTGGAGGTGGAGGCGGCGGAGGCGGTAGCGGTGGGAGCGGAGGCGGCGGTGGTGGCGGCGGTGGAGGAGGTGGCAGTGGAGGAGGTGGAGCTGGTCGGGGTGGCGCTTCGCAGCGGAGCGGCTCCGGTGGTGGTCCGCGCCAGCAGCAGCAGCGGTCTCGGGATATCCCCCCCCCTCAGCAGCTCCGTGAGTGGTACGCGCAGCGTCAGCGTGGTGGGGGTTTTGGTCCGTGCACCTACGTCCTTCACACCAGCGACCGCGCAGTGAGCAGTGTGGGGGTGCCCACCCCAGCCAGCGCTGCTTTGGCCGCCTGACAGTTGCTTGGCGTCAGCAGTTCCCGGAGGCTACTGAGATCCCCCGCTGGGGAGAGCTGTCTAGGGCAGGTGTAGCCATCTATGATCTTGACTTTGATGCTATCCTTGCTGCAATGTCTGCTGTGACTATTAGTGATGAGGGTGACTGTTACCGGTGTTTCCCGCCTGACCCGGGCATTGAGACTGCTGCTCTAGGTACTGGTGAGGCTGCTGCTCTAGGTGCCAATGAGGCTGCTGCTCTAGGTGCCAGTGCGTCTGCGTCCTCAGGTGCTGGTGAGTCTGCGCTCTCAGGTACCGCGTCGGCTTCGGCCTCCCTCACCTTCACCCTTGACCCAGGGGCTTCTCGCTCCTTCTTTCAAGACCGCACCACACTCACGCCGCTTGGTCGGCCGGTTGCAGTCTCCCTGGCAAACCCCTCTGGGGGCCCTGTCCTCTCTCACTTCTCTACCGTCCTCCCATGTCCGGCTGCCCCCTCTGGCACCTTGTCTGGTCTTTACCTCCCCTGGTTCTCTACGAACTTGGTGAGTGGTGCTGACCTACAGGATGCGGGGGTTCACCAGTTTACTCCTGCGAGTCAGCGGGTGACCCACTGCTCGGACGCTCGCACAGGCAGGCACCTGGCCACGTTTACGCGCCGGCTAGGGTTGAGCCTCTACACCCTGACCACTGAGTTTCCTCCTGTCTCTGCGTGTGGCCAGGTAGCTGCGTCGGGTCAGGTGTTTGCTGCAGCGTCCAGGTCTGGTCCTGAGTCTGCCCCCTGCTCGTGTCGCCTCCTGTCTCACGAGACACTCCTGTGGCACCACCGTCTAAGTCACCCCTCCCTGCCTCGTCTCCGAGGCATGGCTTCCCGTGTCCTTCTCTCTGGTCTTCCCCGGTCCCTCCCTCCCCTTCCTCTGGGGCCTGGTCCTTCCTGCGTCCCCTGTGTCGAGGGGCGGCTCCGGCTGCCCCGCACTCCTCTCAGTTTCCCCCGACAGAGGCCCCGCTGCAGACGCTTCACATGGACGTGTGGGGCCCGGCCCGCGTCCCGTGGACAGGGTCACGAGCGCTACTTCCTGCTGGTGGTTGATGACTACTCGCGTTACACCACAGTCTTCCCCTTGCGCAGCAAGGGTGATGTCACTAAGGGTATTGATCGACTGGATCCGCGCAGCTCGTCTCCAGCTCAAGAGGAGCTGCGGCTCGGACTTCCTGTTCTGCGTCTGCACTCAGACCGGGGCGGAGAGTTCTCCTCTGGTCTTCTGCGAGCCTACTGCCGTGCGTGAGGCATCCGGCAGACCTTTACGCTTCCGGACTCTCCACAGCAAAATGGGATTGCTGAGCGCCGCATTGGCATGGTCATGGACGTCGCTCGTACGTCCATGATGCATGCGGCTGCCCCCCATTTTCTGTGGCCGTTTGCGATTCGGTACGCGGCCCATCAGATCAACCTTCACCCCAAGGTCTCCCTGCCGGAGACCTCCACAGCTTTGCTGTGGATGGGGAAGGTAGGCGATGCATCTGCGTTCCGTGTCTAAGGATCTCGGGCGTCTGTCCGCGACTTGTCTGCGGACAAGCTGTCCCCTAGTGCTGCTCCTTGTGTCTTCCTTGGCTTCCCCCCTGACGCGCCAGGGTGGCAGTCCTACCACCCCTCCTCTCGTCGTGTTCTGTCCTCCCAGGATGTCACGTTTGACGAGTCGGTCCCCTAATACCGTCTCTTCCCCTACCGCACTCCTTCCCTCCCCCCGCCTCCGCTCTTCCTTGTGCTAGGTCCCCCCCGGTAGGCCTCCTCCCCCCTCAGGTTCCTGCCCATTCAGGTGTGTCCCACGTAGACGCAGTCGAGCCGGGTCGAGGTTGCTGGTGACTCTGGTACTACTGCCGGTGCTGAGCCTGGGGGTGCTGACTCTGGGGTGCTGAGCCTTGGGGGTACTGAGTCTGGGGGTGCTGCGACTGGGGGTGCTGAGCCTGGGGGTGCTGAGACTGGGGGTGCTGAGCCTGGGGGTCCTTCGCCTGGGGGTGCTGAGCGTGGGGGTGCTACGCTGGAGCTGCTGAGCCTGGGGTGCGGAGCCTGTGGCCGTTGCACCTACTCGTTGTGGCGTCTGGCAGTTGCTGGGCCTGGAGGTTCTCCGGGTGCTTCGTCTCGGCGGGAGCCACTCTCTCCACAGGAGCTGCGCGAGTGGTTTGCCCGGCGCTGGAGGCGTACTGCTGGAGCTGGTGCGTCTTCGGCTGCTGAGGGTGCTGGTGCTGCCGGTCGTGGAGGTGCTCGTCCTGGGAGTGCTGGAGCTGTTTGGCCTGCGAGTGCTACTGGAGCCGGAGCTGCTGAGGGTGTTGGCGCGGAGGCTACTACTGTCAGTCCTGGCGGCGGTCCCTGCTGCTGGTGTTGCGCTACTTGTGTAGTACGTCGGGCATGGGGCTAGTGCCTGGAGGGCAGAGTCCAGAGGTCCTCACTGGGCACGCAGACGCTTCTTGGGCTGACGACCAGGCTACACAGCGGTCGTCACAGGGTTACACCTTCAGCCTTGGTTCCGGCTCTATTTCGTGGCGGGCTACTCGCTCGTCTTCTGTTCTCGGCTCCAGTTGTGAGGCTTAGATCTACGCCGGAGCCATGGCTGCTCAGGAGCTACGCTGGCTCACCTACCTGCTGACTGACCTCGGAGAGCCGCCTCGTTCTCCTCCAGTGCTGTACGTAGACAACAAGGCCATGCTGGCCTTGTGTCGAGAGCAGAGCCTGGAGCACAGAACGAAGCAGATTGCTCTCCGCTACTTTCTTGCTCGTGAGCTGCAGTAGCGTGGTCAGTTGCGACTTGCATACGTGGCCTCTGAGGCCAACACTGCTGATATCTTCACTAAGGCTCTTGCGCCTTGTGATCATTAGCGCTTCTGTACTCAGCTTGGTCTTGTGCCTGTCTTGCCTCACTTGCGCACTTCTTGACCTTGCTTGTACTGTCACATATATATACTCCTGCTCTTGCTTGTTTAGCCTTTTATATATATATATGTCCTCTTGCATGTGAACTGGCCGTCTGGCCTTGAACTTGTGCTCGGAATGTGTGGTGACTTTGTGATCCACCCTGAGCTTTGCTTTGCTTTGCTTGACTGGTCTTGTGACCCCTTGTTCTCCCCGAATTCGCCTATGGGGGTGTGTCAGATTTGTATGACATAGCTGTTGTAGGCTATAGCGGGGTAGCACATATGGGGTACAGCTTTTTAGGGTTGTATTTGTACCCAACTTTCCCTTAGTCATTTCATTCTCGTTCTAAGTTTCTCATCCATTCCCCACCTCCTCGTCCCCCTTCCTCTCCCCCCTCCTTTCCCCCTCACCTCCCTCTCCCCTGGTCCCTCTCCCTTGTCCCTCTCCCCCGTCCCTCTCCCCTGTCCCTCTCCCCCGTCCCTCTCCCCCGTCCCTCTCCCCTGTCCCTCTCCCCCGTCGTCCCATGCTCACCCCTCCCCCCCCCCCCCCCCCAACCTCACGGAAACAACACATGCCACTCCACACCACTCTACATGTCTGCATACCTCAGCACTCTACTGCCACTTGCTCACACCGCGCCAAAAGAGAGGTCATGAAGGGATGGAATGAATGAGGTACCAACCAAGGAAGGACTGGCAGGCAGGAGAGAGGCACGGAATGGAGGGAAGGTGATGAGGAGGTGACTTTTGAGGTGCCTTAAAAGGGAAGGGTGGTGAGGAAGGTGCACGGAAAGGAGTGGAACTTGGAAGGGCCAGAAGAAAGAGTGTGGGGAGAAGACAACACTCCCACCAGCACCATCAAATGATGATGCCGCTCGCCATTCAATTCGCTGCTCGTGCCAGCTCCGACGCCTGTGATGCTCGCCTCGCCGCCGCCACTCGCCTCTCACAATCCACGCGGCGCTACGACTTCCTCGGCTTTAGTCACTGCCGCCAATAGGAAGCCGCATTAGGGATGACGAACAGCAGGTATTGGCAAATTACGTCCTCAGCTCATACGGAATCCAAACGACAAAGCAAGATAGGCGTTCCTCTTGAGACTGTGCTTTGAGATTACATCACAGCGCGGTTTACAAAAAGAAGGACTCAGTAAGGAATGGCGTTTCCTTGGGTGCAAGGAATGGGCAAGGGGATGCGGGAGGAGAGCGGGAGAAAATAATATCTGCCATTTCTCTCTCGAATGCCCCCTGCTGTCAATCGTGCATTCCCGCTTCTCGCAATGTTGGCGGCGGCGTCACACAGGGGGAATGTGCGATAGTAAGAGGGTAAGGCGTGGGGCGGGGGAAGAGGTGCGAGAGTGATGTCTCCCTTCTTTAATCCGATGTTATGACCCGTTCTGACATACCATAACGAGTAGACTTGCCATCTCCATCGCGAAAATGGGAAGTTCGGAAAGCAACTCAAAATACACTCTTCCGTAACTTTCCCGATATTTTTTGCCCGGCATTTTGAGTCAAGGTTTTAGAACTGCGTACCGACCGTCACTTACAAAGCAACTTCCCTATCACTCTTCCGTCACTAACTGTACAGATTGGGGCAACTGACCAAGTATACAGTAAAGCAGCATGTCCGTCAACTTTGAGCAACTTGTGCGAAAGTGTCATGACGACGCCACGTGTCGTATGCCGTACTCTAGATGAAACTCAGAAATGCTGACGTGGCGTCCACCGTACCCTAACGTCAACCGTCGAATAAGTTGACGATGAACGCACGTGATTCGTCTTTGTGGACCAATCGGATCCTGCGATTTGTTGTACAGTAACAATTTATTATCGGCTGACGATTAATACGAAAACGCCTGCGACGATTGTGATTCATCATAATAGCAAACTCATAATGAATTTGTTCTCATTATTACTGTCTTTTTAGTATTCACAACTCACACACAAACTGTACACATAAATTTTCCACCTGTCAAACATTATATATGTTGTGCTTGTTTAGGCTACAGTGGGTTAGCCTATAGGGGGTACACAATTCTAGGGTTAGGTACTTGTACTCATTTCAGTGTTAGTTCATTCATTCCTGTTCAGTTATTCTAAACACCACCTACGCCTAACTTAAGACTGCAGTAATAGGTTTCTAGACCCGCGTCACTGGAAAAATGACTCTACAAGTTAGAGCAGATGGTAACTGGAAAAACATACATGAAACATGTCGAACACACCAAAATTGCGTTTATAGTGCTCACCTTTGGGGTTGATAAAAATGGAAGTATGAGTGTTGGAAAATATACGAAGTACGTGTATAGTTGACGATAAGCCTGCCGTAGCAGGTACGCCCTGCAAATGACGCATAATGCGATTGTCGACATTTATACTCCTGCAAGGAAAAAGGTTAGTGTTCACATCTCTGAAACCTGCACACATAATGTTGATGCTACGCACAACAGTAAGCTTGCTCCAATGGAACCACCAAATGCATCGTACTTAGCCTTTGCACGGTCAGTTGCGGCGGCTCTAACTACGACGGTTACGCAGGGCAACGAGATGCTGCACAGTGTTAGTCTCAAACCGAATAAAAGTAGAATAGTAAGAACCAAGGTACCATAATTTGTGACAGGAAACATAGGACATAAGGCGAAACTATGTGGGCCAAAACATATAGTAATAAAAATGTATATCTCAGCAGCAATACATATACCGTTCTCGTGTAGAGAGAGGGGCCGAACAGGCGCTGACGGCGTCGCCAATTGCACGCATGTCGTCCGCACCAAGGCGTTGAACAGTCGATCTGCGAAGGGGAATGAGAAGTGAGAGGGATAAGTAGATGGTAAATATCAGACAGAGAGCTTTGTTCACAACGATGTGTATACGCTAAGACAAAACTGTATACAACGATCTTTGCGCAGACATCGTAGTGATGACGTTCAATAACATAGAGCGCATCTGGGCTTGAAACATGTAGAGCGTAGTTGCTAATCTAAGAAACCTAGAGAGGTAGGAGCGTAGTCGCTAGTCTAAGGCACTCAACATCAACAAGGCGAGACTATGAGGTAGGTGTGGGTAGTACGGAAGGTACAGGTTTGGAGGGGAATCATGTGATAAAGATTCCCATGTTGAAAGTGAGGGGATATTGGGTGGACGTTTTTTGGGTTGAGTGTGCTGACGTGTAAGTATCGGAAGGTGCATATTGATTGACTCGTCAGAGCACAACAATCGTTGGTTCACAACGATTCTTTGGCTCACACGTCACCCCATGTGAAGAAACCAGGTAGCATTTGTGGGTTGGGTTGGGTGGTTGGGTTCAGATTGGATACTGAACGAAAATAATGTATGCAGCTGTTGCACCTTGCTGGACTTCGTGGGTTCGTTTTGTTTCGTTAAACTTGTGGTTACATTACAGTGCCCTCGTCACTCTGCAAAAACGCATGGAATCTCTCTCAAACGTGCGACAACCGACTGACCAGGAAAAGTTGACGGAAAAGTAACTGTGTACCGAATGTTGCGATGTTCGTGCATTGGTTTTTGGATACTTCGCACAAATTGTACGCAAGGTATACGCAGAAAAACCTTTGAAGGCCAAATTTTGCAACTTCCCTTTTTCGCGGAGTCGTACGATGAAACGAGTCAACTCGACCTTATAACTCGACCTTATTAGTCGACCTTATTACTCGACCATATTACTCGACCTTATTAGTCGACCTTATTACTCGACCTTATAAGTCGACCTTATTACTCGACTTTCATTAGTCAACCTTATTACTCGATCTTATTAGTCGACCTTAATACTAAATCGCAAAAAGGTACGTCCCAGCTCGATCGATCGCTAAGTCCCTGGTCTGCCACAATCCGTATGCTGAAAGCACTATGTATCTTTTGCTCTAGTGGTTGTTAGGGTTTCGTTTCGTTCCCGTTATTGCGAGAGCAAATGAGGAGGTCGTTGTTCGTCAAACAGGGTCAGCCGCTGTCCTGATTCGTCTGACTGGCAGACTTGGCGAGATTTTTGGGAGCTCGACACGCCCTGCTGGCATGCCACGCCACCATTGCACAGAACTCGTGTCACCTTGGAATCCGCAAAGCAGGGTAACTTGACATTACGTTCGCATCTGTCAAGATCCACATTTCACAGCTGAATGGGAAGTTGCAATTTGCAAACTCGACCTCGCCAGCGATGTTGGCCTCTCGCAGCCACAAAGAAAAATGCGTAGCAGATCTTGGCAAAAAAAATGGGACTTCAGTTTCAACTCCCACTCTCCTCCCTGCCACTGTTAGTCTTATTCCTAACTTGCTATCTTCATAGTCGTCTGCACTCCATGTAACATCATTTTTTACCTGATCTGTCTACAGATATTCTTGCGTTACTCTGGACGCTTAAAACTGCTACTATTTGCGCACAGCTTCTCGCCGCACCACGATGGCAACGGACAACAAGGGATGCATCATTCGGCTCAGCGTACTCTTGCTGACGTGTCTCGCCTATGTTTC